TATTGAAATCTCTCAATTATTATATTTGTTGTCAATTTGCTCTCATTTTAATTTTTATTAGTTTTTGTAGTTTTCAATTCATATTTCTAAATTCCAATTCTCCTTCTTTAATTCTTTATTTCTTCTATATCCATTTTTTTTTTTAAACTAGAATGGATAGATATTTCCATCCCATCAATTTCGATGATGACGGAAATTATCATAGTCCCCCTGAATTTACCAACGTAAATGTAGTAGATTCAAATAGCCCCACTATCCCATTCTTAGAATCCGATACACCTCATAATATTCACCCTTCCTTCCCATGCTGTTATAGCTCCCGGTGGTTCTAGAAGTTGTCCTCGTAATCGTCATCCTTGTCCAACTCCATCTCAAGCAGAAGCGGGTTCATCAACTGAAGTCGAAATCGACGATAGACACACATTAGACGTTTGGGTGCATTTCGATAAGTTTTACGAGACAGAAAATTGAGTTCAAGTGAAGAAAACAAGATGCAAGTATTGTGGAAATATTTATAAAGTTGATGCAAGTAATGGTACTACTACTTTAAAAAGGCATGCTAATAAACATATTACTCAACATGGAAATAGAGAAACCAATCAAACTCAAATAACTAATATGGGTACTACTTGGCGTTGTAATTCTAATGTATATAGGGAATAATTAGCTTTATATATTGCTGCAACTGATCAACCTATTAATATGACTAAAGATAAATATTTTGAAAGATTTATTAAAAATTTAATTTTTCCAGGATTTAAAAGTTATTTTAAAACTGCAACTAGAAATAATTTAATAAAATTGTTTGGGAAAATGAAATTAGAATTAAAAAAAAAAAAATACATAGTTATCATGTTAGTGTGGCTCTAACTGCCCATATTTGGAGTACTGGTAGAGCTAGACAAGATTATATTTGTGTGACTAGTCATTATTTTGATAACGAATGTAAATTAAATAAATCTTTATTGGGATTTAGATTAATGGATGTGGATCATAGTGGTAAAAAAATTTATAATAAAATTTTTGAAGTTTTAGGAGATTATGATATTGTTCACAAAGTGATAAGTTTAACTTTAAATAATGCAAGTGCTAATAGTAAAGCTATAAATTTTTTTTCAAATAAATTTTCCTTTTTATGACAATTTGAAGTTTTTTCATCAACGTTGTGCATGTCACATTATTAATTTAATTGTGAAAAGTTGTCTGAAAAAAATTAAAAATAATATTGATAGAATTAGAGATTCTTTAGCTTGGATTATTAGTAGTAATAGAAGAAATGTTGAATTTCAAGATGCTTGTATAAAATCAAATATGTCTCCTAGAACTTTTGCATTAGACATGACTGTTAGATGAAATAGTATTTATTAATGCTTGATTCATGTTTACCTTATGCAAATTTAATTAGTTATTTTATAGCAAATAATAGGGGTCCTTGTTATTTGATAGATAGTGATTGACATATAGCTCAAAAATTTCATTTTTTTTCTTAAATTTTTTTATCAATCCACCGTACAACTTTCTGGTGTGTATTATCTTACTAGTCCATTAGTAATACATACAATTATAAAAATTTCAGATTTATTTAAAAAAAAAAAAAAACAGAAATAATAAAAATTTAGTGGGACCAATAGAGGCAATGGAATTAAAATTTAAATAATATTGGAAACCTATTCATTTTCTTTATTGGTTAGCTGCCATATTTGATCCTAGAATTAAATTAGCGCGTTTAGAAAATGGTTTAGACACGTCAAGTAAAAATTTACGAGATGGAGCATATGCCAATCAACTAAGACAGATAAGAGAGTGTCTTGCAGAGGTATATTTGCAATATGAAAACATGTATGGGAACCAGCGAAGAGGCGAAATACCCAAGGAAGTAGCATAAGAAGAAACAAATGAAGACTTCGACTCCTAGCATGCACTTAATAGACCAAAGAGCACCCGAACCCGAACCCGAAGCACAACCTCCTCTTCAGAAGCATCAACAACGAATGTACTGTCCTCCATACAGCTACAGAGTAATGAGCTTCACCAATATTTAGGAACCCCCGACGTGCTCTAGCAGATCCATAACAAAGAGCCAACTTTGATGTCTTAGTTCCTGTCTCAACTGTCTCATCCAAACAAACATTTAGTGCAAGTGGAAGAATTTTAAATGAAAGGAGGACTAAACTTTCAAAAAAAAAAAAAAAAAAATGATTGAAGTCCTCACATATCTTTGAGATTGTGAACGGTCGCTCCATCAGGATCAATATGAGGTTGTCGACGATACTTTAATAGAATCATTTCAATTTTGTAATATAGATAATACAGATGAGGAAGGTCCTAGTCAACCCCCAAATTAGTTGTTTTGTAAATTGTAACTTTGTAATTTGTAAATTAATTGTCAATTATTGCACTCTATTTTCCTTACCAAGTTTTTGTCCCAATTAGGTTTTTCTTGGTAAGGTTTTTAACGAGACAATAATTGTTGTAATTTCTTATTTCTTATTTTATTTTTTGATAAATGAATAAATCTAATTTTTCTTATATTACAATTTAATTGTATTAAAATTGAATTAATATTTGAAATGTTAACAAAATTTTTTTTATGTAATTGAATTATTGATATTTGAGAAGTTAGCTAAAAAAAATTACACAAAAGAAAAAAATAAAAAAAATTTCGGGCCAGCCCAGCTCGGCCCGCACCAAAACCCGCCAGGTTAGGGTTTGCGGGCCGGGCTAGGCCTAACCCGGCCCACCATTTTGCTTAACTCGCCACGGGCTGGGCTAAGCAGGTTATTTTTCCACCTTTATATCAATCGATACTTTTAGGCTTTAATTTTGTTTTAATTGCTTAATTGTTTGATTATGCGATTAGGCTGAGTGTTTAATTGGGGCAGGTTTTCGTTCTGGGTGATTTTGGTTATTTGTGTGCTTTTTGTGGAATTAAAATTGCAAGAAGGGGTATATTTGAAAAATTTAAAATATGAAAATGTACATATCAACCCTAAAAAAGCCCACGTTAGCACTACATGCAAACGTCAACCCTCATAAATTTCCACATACACATTTTAGAATTAAAAAAAATCCACGTCATTTATTTTTAACTGTGTTAGAGGTCGGTCTTTAAAGTTTTTGATGGTATACAAGTTCGGTACCTTCAATAGAAATAATTAATAGTTTGGTACTTTCAACAAAAAAAAAATAAAAAAATAGTTCGATACCTTCAATAGAAAAAAAATAATTCAATACCTTCAATAAGAAAAAGTGATAGTTTGGTACCTTCTGATGTAATTAAACCTATGTTATATATAATAATAGAGAACATGTTTAGAATCTAATAATTGATATAAGTATATAATAATTGAAAATATGTTTTAACTTTTGGCTTATAAATCTTAACTCATGACTTACATAATTTATGTTAAGAAATCATATGTTTTTAATTTGCCACCCAAATATTTAAAAATACATTGATAATTGATTCAAATTCCATAATTACAAGATTATTTCCTTGTTTTAATTTATAATGAAAGATTTTTATTGATGGATTTCAAGATCTATAATTAACTTATTTCTAAATCTTTATTATTAATTTAGTTTTTCTAGACTCTCCTCGGTTAAAAAATAAAAAACCATAAATATATTTTTTTTATTCGTCTCTTGGTCACTGAGTAATATACTTTTTGAATTAAAATAGGAAATATAATTTTACTAACTTCTACAAAATTATATATAAAGTAAAACCTCTTCATAGTCATAATGGTGGGACTAAATAATTTTATTACTATAAGGAGGTTATAACTTAATGGAGGTGTAATTACAAAAATTATAGTTTTGATTTCTTATTTTATAATTCATGTTTTAGTAGCATAGTATTAGGATTTCAATTCATATTTTAGTAATATTAGGATTTCAATTCAGCGCTTCGATTGCCTACTTTTGAAACGGATAAAAGATCGTTTCTTAGAACCAGCAAAAATAAGTGTCATTGATGGAACTGTAAATATAGTTGATGCATGATCAATTGATGTGAAACCACAGACAATTGTCAATGGTTTTAAGCGTTGCAAAATTAGGACCACTAATGTCAATGAATTGTAAGTTACAAATGAAGTGGATGAAGAGAATAAAAGAGTCACAATAGAATTGAGTGATCAGATTCGACAACTTCATTACACTAATCGAATGAATATTAATGTCTTCTTCGATTATCCAATTGAGCAACAAATCGTGTATGCTTTAACTAAAAGAGAAATCATTGTTGCAATTAGACAAGAAGAAAAATGAAATAATCCTAAGGATAATAGTATGGAAATGCAAAAAATCTTATGCCATGAAGCTCTAAACATGCTTGAGAAACTAAAAATATTTTGGCTTCAACAAGAAGGTATCCATGCTAACGAGCTATTACATACTTATAAGGTAAAAGATGTGATAACAACTCTAAAGCATAAATAATTATCCCAAACAATTTTAAATAAATATTTTATTTCATTTTAAACCTTTAATTTTACATAACAATTTTTTTTTTTGTAATATACAGATAATTATTACTATGTAAAGGCAACTTTCCGTAAGGCAGGAATTAGAAAAATTATAACTTATTACAATGTAAAGTTTATTCTTATTTATAACTATCCCAAATTGGGACTAGAATTTTTTATGACTATATAGAGTTTATTCCTATATAGAGTATCACTATAGAGATGTTTTACTCTATATATATATATATATTATCTTAATATTTTTTTTTTTTTATTCCCTTATTCATATTTCATACCCATCCTTAGATCCACACGGGGATCGATGAAGCTCAATGGCATTCCTCGAACTCGGGGACGGAGGAGGTCATGTCCCTGGCCCCTATGTGACGGTATTGAATAGGGAAAGGCAACAAATCTTCAAAACACACAGGCCACTAAACTTGAGAAAATTTGTTAACTATTTTAAGGTCCAAATACAAAGAGAAAAAAAAATATATGTAGAATGCAATCACTGCAGAATATCCCGTTCCTCAAAATGCATTTCCATTTATCTTTTTCTTGTATGTTTATCCTACATTCTAACCTTTCTTTATGTCTCAAATCTACCGACCAATTTGTGGCCCGCTATCCTTCGCAGAAATTCCATTAAATAACCGGTAAAATATTGACAACTTCAAGTGGAGAAGAAGCTGATCGTCTATGATCGTAAAAGTCATCAATCTGAATTTTGGACTCTGTACCGTTCGCATACTTTGGCTGAATTTTCAACCCACCACTTCTCTGCTTCTTGTTCTGTGAAATGCTTGCGACTGTAGAAGAGCATTTAAACATTCCGTAAACAAGAAAACATCAACTGCCAATCATACTATTTCAAAATAATTTGATAACAAGAGTTTCAGTCTTCTTCCCTCTAGAGCAGCAATTCAAGTGGTTGATTCATATTGCTAAAAAGGATATTACGATTATATGCATCTAATATTAAAGCTGCAGCTGCTTCTTTAAAGTATATAAAGGAAAACAACTCTTCTAACAGTTTTAAAGAATACATGATTGGCAATACAGATACAGCAAAACTGAAGCAAGACCTTGGCTTTCAATGTGACAGTTTCAACTAATGAACTGCTTCATTCAATATAATAGTGCTACATCAAATTATTCTTTAATTCTCTTCATTGATAATTTGTCTAGTTTTCTCCAATAAGAGGAGCCATTCGTTTTTTCATTTGCATAGCTATTCTCTCTCCTGTTTAATTCTTTAAAGTGGTAAGGGTCAATTGTTCCTCAATTATTAAAATGGGTATTAGGTCTTCAGAAAAGAAATTCGATCTTTTCAGATTTTATTTTAAATCATCTTCACCCTCTTTAATCCTTTGAATTGGAAAGGATTTAATAGCAGATTAAATGCACATATTATCCTCCTCTTAAAAGCTGTAGTTCATTACATATTGCATATAAACTACACTCAAAAAGCTTAGGGATTTATAGTGATATATAAGATAAACACAGAAAGCCATATGAGTTCTTCTATTTATGATGCTGGCTAAGGATGTTTGGATGGATGCTAGGCATCAAACGGAAAGGGTAAGTCTGTCATAAATGACTCAGACAAGATCAGAGGAGCACCGATTACATGAAGAGAATAGCAAGGATATATAAGCAATGAATAACAAAGACAAAATCTGACCATCATATGACAATATTCAGTTAAGCTCATTTCATATTTTTCTTGAATTCACAAATCAAGGATGCTGTGTAAATACCTGAAGCGAACACGCTTGAGTTCGGTACCACCACCTGATATGGAAGACAAAGTTATGTACACCCCTGTTTCATCTTGCACCACCCACTCTGCCTTCTCAGTTTTTGCCTTGGTTCTGTGAGATAAGGTTTGGCTTACAGAACTGGTGTTGGACTCACCTTCAGGAGATTTTGTGATCGCTTTGGTGCTTTCTTTGGGAAGCATGCTTTGAACACTAGAGATGTGTTTTGCAAGCAAACCTGAAGTGAGGCTGGTAGTACTTTCTTCTGGGTTTCTTTCAGCCATCTCTTTCAACTGCAATACCAGTCAACGTTCAAAATACAAGAAAAATTAACTAGTGGAGAGCAATACATAGATCTGGTTACTACATATTCTTATGTGTTTAAAAATAAAAATGGCAGCATGCTTATTTCTATGCTGCTCTTTACAATCTTAATTGCTTCATATAAGCTAATCAAAGAACATGGTCACATTCACCACATGATATCACTGGTACGAGGATGAATCATGCGAGAAGTTATTAAAAATCATCCTTCTCTTTCTCAAATCAGTGGCATCCTCAGAGGCATTTTCTGTTTACTGTCCCAATCTTCCAAGTAATTGCTCCCCAACCCAAAGCCTCTACCTTTTGTCCCTAAAAATGGAATACATTTTTCTCTATTGCAAATTTAATTAGGATGCATCTATAAATTTTTTACAACAAAAATTCTTAGGTGCGGACATAAAGTGCAGAACTTTCTTTTTAACCTAAGACAGACTTGCACTTTAATACATTTAATTGTGCATGTCTATGTCAACTTAAAGGTTAAAAAAAAAAAAAAAAAAAAAAAAAGGAAGGGGTTCGGACTTTAAATCTGCACTTTTAGGTCAACACTAGAGAATGACTATTCTTTCTACTGAAACTACTGCCTGATTCTTCCAAGTATTGCAAGCAGCCTGTGTATTATTTACATGCAAGTGCTTATCTTTTAAATAAAAAAGAGTTCAACCTGAAGAATGCTGAGATTGCATATTCCTATTCAACTTGCAGATGCAAGCACACTAATGAACAAAGGCTGTTTAGTAAACAAGAAATTATCAGCTTAGCCTCTCCCAACTGTTGACATGATTAAGCTTCTATGCAGATAAAATATGACTAAAGACAAATTATTTAGTGAATTGCATACATGCTCAATTAGCAATTCTTTGAAATTTTAATAATAAAAATCAGACAAAATATCCAACCTGAGCAGTTAAGGACTTAATAACTTCCTTTGCAGACTTGCATTTTTCAACTTCATCTGCCGCCATTGCAGTGACCATCTTTAATTTCTTGGATGTTCTTTCAAGTTCAGCTTCAAGATGCTGGGATTTGGAAGTAGCCGCTTCTAACTACAAAATTTTGTCAATATTTATCAACCAAATCAAAGCAGACGAGGGTACAAAAATTTAATGTAAGCACTACAAACTCATTTTAAGAGGTTAGCATACATAAGAAGTTCTAGATTAAATTTATTTTCATTAACAAGTTGCCCTAAATATCTGCAAATATACCAGTAAGCTTAAGAAGCAACCTCCTATGACTTTAATGTAGACTGTACCAAAAAATTCCATCCTCTACTACATCAAATTTTCTCATAAATGAAAAATCCAGCCTCCAATTGCTCATAACATGAACTAACAGTAAAAAAGATGGAACCTTGGAGTTTTTTATGGTAAAAGAAACATTTGCAGATATCAAAAAGTTCTTTCTAATGAATAATGATTAATAACTGGATGGAACATGATAAACGGAAAATCAGAATCAAGAAAGAAAGTGATGGAGAACCTTGTTGAGATCTAGGCACATGCAAAATCAAGGATTTTCTGGTTATTATTGTTAGGAAACTTGGGATATTACTTATTTGTGTTGATTTGAGTTGCTTTTGCTTATTAGGAGTAGTTTTTCTTTGTCTTATTATTATTATTATTAATAATTTTTTAACTTATTAGTAGATCTTAGGTGGTAAGTGCAGCAATATGCAATGGCAGAAGGTCTGAGAATTTGTGGTTGAACAGATTGGTGGGCATTGAATCAACTGCTGGTGTCTATGTTGGTTCTACTCATTGCTGTTCATCAATGGAACAGTCACAATGGCTGTGGTATTGCAGTGTATACTGCATGGTGGGGAATTGAGTGTTTTGATTGAATATGAAGAGTTCTGTTATGGCTTTGAGATGATAGAATTAGAAGAGAATAACATAGCTTTAAAAGAGATTAGAGAAATAAAGAATTCAGTGTTTCTATTATTTTGGAAACATTATGCATTTTTATGGAAGTCAAATAATAATAAAAAATGGAAACCAAAATCGATTCATGATAAGTAAAAGTAAATTGCTCTAATAAGTTAAAGAAACTCAAAACAACAGAAATAAATAATACCCAGATTATCCAAAAATTAATAGCCAAAATGATTCTAAGTTCTACGCTTACAACTAAACATGTTTTTAGTTCTCTGCAAAGTTCTCAATAAGAAATAATCTAGGGTTTTGTGTTATGCACTGAACACCGTTTTCAGGTTCCAGTTTGATAATACTCAGAGTAGAGGCAAATGTGACTAAAGGAATTCTATAGGTCACTTAGAAACAAGGGATTTCCATAGATCTATGGTCATTTAGTACTTTGCTAAGAGAATCTCCAAGGCTATGGAGTAAATTCTAAGCAAAAATTTGAGGCAGCAAAGATATCTCAATATTGTTGTCACAGAAACTGTTAGAAAGATCACCTCACTTTCAGTTTTAGTGCATATTTTTTTATGACGTGGAAACACCAGCATATAAATTCTTTAAGACATCAAAGATGAACATTTCAACACCACTAACCATTGCTAGGCTTAATAGAAGATATTCAGTAGACAAATAAATTTATAGTGCCTAATTCATTATTATCAAAAGGAAAAAAGAAAGTGAATTCACAAAGCAGTTATGGAAACTTATAAAGCCAGGCATGGGTCACAATAAAAAAAATCTAGCCGGAAGCATAGATATAATAGCATAAAGAGAATATAATACTGTTGTAAAAGCATCTATGACAGTCCTACCTGTGACTTTAATTTTCTGATTTCTTGGGTTAGATTGTCATTTGTATGCTTTGAATCATCAATAGTCACTTCAGAAAATCGAGGTGGACTAGACTTTCCTGAAATGGGAGACGTTGTTCGAGAGGTCATTCTGGAGCCAGTAATAGGCGGAGATAAGCTTTTCTTTGAGTGAAAATTTCCACTAAAAACTGGTGAAATCTGGCTGTCATGGAATTCAATTCTGGAATTGTGCTTGGAATGCCTGATTTCAATCTGTTTGATTGAGTCAGCAGATGAGAGTCTAGAAAGTTGTCCCTGCAATCTGGCACCTTGATTCTCTCTATCAGCTGCCTCAATGGTTTTGTGATGCATGTTTCCATTTCTGACTTTCAGATTTCGCATGACAGAGTTGGATTCCAAGACATTTTTAAGTTTATTAAAACAATCATCACAAACCCGATAGGGCTTGTTCATGTTTGGAGCCAAAGCAGCTTTCAGGGATTTCCTACTGCTGCACGCTTTGCAAAACACTAAACCACAGTTGTAACAATTGTGACGTTTTCTTCTGAAACCAAATGGATTACGGCAACTGGAGCATAGAGAGTGGTCAGCACTAGATACCCATTTATGAAGACATATAATAGCAGTAAAGTTGGAACCACATACTAGACTCTTGATTTGCTTATCTTTCAGAAAATCCACCAGCGTAGGTGAATTTCTGTTATCTTTGTCACCATGGCCCAATTGCCCATTAGTACCCTTACCCCAAGTGTAAACCTCTGATGAAGAAGTCAAGGCCGCAACATGATAAGAACCACAGGCAATCTCTTCCACAGAACATTTGGCTATTTTACCTTCAACCCGAGTAGGAACCAGTCCATCAACTGTAGGAATCCCCAGCTGTCCATAAGCAATACTCCCCATTGTATATACATGTCCTGAGGTTGTAAGAGCAACTGTGAGATTATGCCCACATGCTACTCGACTTATATTTTCATCCACCAATGAAGCTACACAGTTGGGAATGAGCCTCGGTTCTTTATCACCATGTCCAAGTCGGCCATTATCTCCATCCCCCCAGGTGAACAGCTTACTAGATGAAGTGCTACTTGAAGGTGAAAAACTAGAAGATTCAGTAACTACTTCAATGACTGCAGCAGTGTGCCAAACACCACAAGAAACTCTCATTGTTCGCATTCCAATCAACGTTTCCACTTCACGTGGAATACTTGTGCTACTACGATCTCCATGTCCAAGAGCACCAAAAGACCCATCTCCAAAAGTAAACAACTGGCCAGTAGATGTCACAACAGCTGTGTGCCAAAGACCACAAGAGATATAAGATACATGCTTACTGTCCATTTGCCCACAGACCCTTTTAGGGATCCAGTGACTGACTTCACTTCCATGTCCAAGCAGACCACACTGATGAGTACCATCACCCCATGTGTAAAGATCCCCAGAGCGTGTTATGGCACAAGTGTGATATTCTCCACATGCTACTGATTCAATGTTCATGCCACTGAGGGTTTCAATGAGCTTTGGGTAGGGAACATCTATTTCCATACCATGCCCAAGCCTGCCTCCTATTTCCTCCCCCCAACTAAAGATCTCTCCCTGTTTAGTAACTAACACTGCATGTTTCCTACCACAAGCAATACTATGAACATCCAAAACTACAGTTGATTCCAATGCCTTAGGCAGAAGTGCATCCATCTGAAGGCTATAAGAGTTCCCAACTTGATGCGCATCAGCAGCCAAAACTCCAATGCCAACACCTTCTCCCCAAATGAAAACATCACCTAAGGAATCAAAGTCTTCATGACAAGAACCATGGCTTGATGAGCTTACAGCACTAGATAGACTGATTCGAACTGTCTCAGCAGCAGAACTTCGATCATTTGAATTATCCATGTTTGTAGTTGCTAATGACCCCAGAGGGGAGGCAACTGATTCTGCTTGACTGAAACTTTTGGGTGTTGCAGTATATGATATTATCTCAGAAAATGCCTTCGCCAGTCCACTCTGTGAACCATTCTCCAAAGGCACTTGTATTCCTTTAGTATCTCCGAGATCCTGTGATTGTGCCAAAAAAATTAACCAAAACAGGTAAAAGAATGGGTAGGTTGTCAAACTAGGACAAAGTGAAAGATTGACTGACAGCATAGATATGCACCAGTGGTGCAACTGATGGAGAATTTTTTCCAGTACGAGCATGTGGACTATCGGAAGATGTAGAATTATGTCTTGGTTCATTTTTCCACTTAAGGTTGCTAACACGAGTAATCAATGCCTGAAGACCAACAAACCAGACTTCAGCTTCATCCTTGTCTTTACAAATCTGTCCGTAAGATGGGAATGGTGTCAAAAGAAGAGATTTGTAAGGTATAAGTTTCTTTCTATCCACACATGACAGAATAAAATGGCTGCACAACCAAATTCAGTAATTTGTAACACATAAGTTTCTCTTATTTGCACTGACAAGTACATGGCACTTTTATGTTAAAAGAAATCATGAAGGAGACACACTCACCAAATCCAAGGACCGATCACTGCATATCAGAGAAAATGATTGATACTCTTTTTCAGGCCGAGGATAACGCTGAAATATTGCCTGAAACACAAGTTACTATTGCATTTGTGGAAGTTTTTGGAATTAATATATAAGCAAATAATCAGACTAATAGCATAACTCTTTAAATTAAACACAAAAATCAAGGATTGCAAATAATGATTAGAGAGAGTCTAACAAAGCAGTAAAGTTTAGACTAACCAATATTAACCTCTCCCAGAACACTTTTTCAGACTCAGGCATATGCATGTCAAGGCTCCATTTAAAGTTTTCATTATTTCCCTTGTAATGTTTTAGTAGGATTTTCACGGTCCAAGTTTTTTTTAGCAAAGATATGTTGACTTCACAAACTTACAGTGCGCTGTCCTGGACTAATCCTTGAAACTTGACTCAGTTTAAGATGTTTTTCTGCTTTGCCTGAGTACCATATCAACATAGCTTCATCCTGAAACAAAGCCACAATTATCTGTGATTAACTAAAAAGAAAAATTAACACTCAATGTACAAATAAGGAAAGGGTGGGCTATATGCACCCTTAAAAATGCTGTTAATATCCAATTTTCTACATACCCTCTATTATTAATTTTTTACTATTTATTTTCTCAAATAGCAGAAATTAAAAAAAAAAAAACTAGGTCAAGTGGATAACACAATATTTTTTTTATCAAGAATTATAAAATTTACTATGAAAACCAACAACACAAAAGAACTTGGAAAACATCATTTCTAGATAGTATGTTATACGTCATAAAGCTTATAAAATTTTACTTCACTTTATTGCAATTTTATATCAAAAAAGTACTTAGATATTAAAGTTGTATTTATCACATTGAATAATTTTTATAATGATTAAGTTAATTTATATAATTTTAGAAATGCTAATTTTAGGGTGTACTAAGAAAGGGGGTGTTCAGACGACATATGGGGGTACATAAATAGCCTCACCCATAAGAAAATGACTACCTTGGCCTATTCCTAATTTTGAAATGATCTTTTCATAAGAAACCGCTAGAAAAGGAAAAAGACAAAAATAATGTCTATGCTATGACTGCTGGTTTGAGAATAAGCTGCAAGCACTGAGAATCTTCTTTGTCAAGTGAGAGTTGTTTGCACCATTGTACCTTAGTTTGCAGTTATTATAAGCTTCCAATTTGCTAGTATAATTTACTAATTTCAATTCTGTGGCCATGAATCTCAAGAGGGGTTTCAATGAAAATATTGCTCATAAAAATAATTTTCATCTAGGATAATGCTCTTGTAAGGCCCAAATATATAAGTAAAAGGATGCTCTTGTGAACTAAAGGTTTGGACAATTTTTTATCATATAATTGACCTCTATTGCCAAAATTATAGACAAGTTTAATTAAAAATTTTAATGAATTCCATACTCTTGTAAGAATAAATAGAAGTAATTAACCGGTTTTCATTTTTCTTGAATTCAAATGTAAACTTCTTATCCTAATAAGGGGCACTAGAATGCAAATAATACATGGGACTACCAACTTCTTTCTATCCAAAGCAAAGAAAGTCTACGCTATCACAATGGTACCACATTTGTAATACCACAAGCCGATGCATGCATGACGCATAGGTAATCAATTTAACAACTACTAACCAAATTAATATAAAATTGATGAGAGAAAAATAATTAAAATGTGGCATAGAAACATTGGCTTGTGTTATGATGGATGTGGTACCTCCATGATATTCTAGATTTTTCTACCACAACAAGAAGGAATCGCCCACCCAGACTCTTGTTGTACTACTCCTCCAGTTACTTCACCCCTAGACCCCCCCTTCTTTCTCTCTCCAATTTTCTTCTTGCATGCGTAATTTTAAGTTCTCACCGATAGGCCATAACACCTTTAAACATTTTATTCCACACCCTTTAAAGTAAGATTTCTCCATTTCCCTGATCAACCCTCCCAACTCAAAATAAAAGATGGAAAAGAGAAAGAATGGGAAGGTTTCAATTGGACAAATTCTTTTCAGTTAAAATCACAGCACACCATATCAATAGGTCTATTACTGAGATGCTGGAGGCAGCATTATGGGATTCATACATGACTTACTTTGACAGAATAAAAGAGCAATGCAGTGGACATTCAAATCATCCCAAAAAAATATTTACCCAGCATCACCCAAGAGATTTTCTTCTGTTTCAGTTTTTCAATATTTAAACCAATGTGATGGTAAAATTGTTCAAAGGAGGAATACATGCCAAGGAAACTTACATTTGAAAGTTTGAATGGACAGAACTTTGGCTTTCCTCTGCGTCCATACTTTAGCAAATATGCACCTTTCTTGAGGGCTGTAATGGCCTATAAATAAGTTAATTGATAAAAGCAGAATCACTATATGAACCAAAGGGGTTTACAAAAGAGAATAACTTTTTTATTTATATTTTTTATATCCAGAAATTTATCGATCTTTCCTACATGTTCTCCAAGTTTTAAACTATATAAGTGCATAAACTTTACAATGGTAAACATTTTGAGGCACTTCAAATAAAGCTCATGCAGGAAGAGAGCCAAGGATTCATTGCTCAATGACTTAGCTTATGAAGTACTTAAATTAGCCCCAAGAAAGATACAAGGAGTTAACATACACAAACACGATACAAATGCACTCACAAGGAAAGTCACAATGAAGGAAAAGATGTACTTAGAAGAACACTAATGAATATGCCATAGAATCTTCAAAATATAAGGATAAAGAATTTCAGTTCAGACATGTGGCATTCAAGGCACACAATCAAAATATCACATTTAGTATAAACTGCCCTCTACAAGTTAACTATTCTACACCTTTTAGCGATTTCTGATGGAACATGAAACAGAAATGCATTTGTAACTACAAACTAGCATAAGAAGTAGAACACACAACATAAAAAGTTAAAACCTGCTCGATATCCTTCTCGGACAGACCAACTCTTTGAGATTCAGCCATTCAAGGTGCTGCGCAGATGTAGAAGGAATATCCATTTGAACAACCACCAATTCTAATGCATTGCATATCATTACCAGCCAATTTTCAACTCTGTCCCATAAACAACTTAATTAAAAAATAAAGAAAATGCAAACACTTCACAAGCTTCTAAGCTTAACTGCGTAGAACTGTAAATATAAATTCCTTTATCTACCCATAACAACAAAAGAGCCAAAAAACCTACATTGCAACTCACAAACTTTACCAAAACCCCAGCAATCAACAATGCCACAAAATCCAAAACCTCAAAGCGCTTCAGTCATCAATTTTAAGCTCTTAAACAGCTCAAATTCACTTCTTAATAACAGGAAAACCCCAAAAATACGAGTACACTTTCAAAATTGAACCAAAAAGATGTCGAATCCTCATATATTTCAGCATCAAGACAACAGTAAAATTTGAAACGCGTTGACAAAAAAATCCAGAACAACAACGATGGAATTTACCTACATTGCACGAAGAATCAACAAATTCACCAAATTATACCAAATTTGATGAACACAACGTTGTTCAACTCGTAATGGAAGGGAGAACCTTCAAAATTCTATTGAGAGAAGCGTCAATTGGCGCTCTAAATATGATATACGGAGAAATGAATTAGCAGCTTCGTTACCGTGGGCGTCTCAGGAATTTTTTTCTGTAAACCTTTTTTCGTGTGTTTAACTCGGAATATATATAAATTTTTATGTAGTTTTTGCTCGTTTATCTCTTAGAGGGGGCTTAATTAACCGTCAGCTGCCTGTTTAAGGAAATTTCGTTATATTTTTGTGTTGGCTAATGCTACGTCAGCAACAGAAAACTCCCGAGATGGCGATTTGACAGATGTGCAAATGCTCATTTGGCATTCCTTGGTTGGCTGCTGAGAAAATCACTTGCCATTATCCTCTGTGTCGTGGACCACCGTATCAGATCAAGATCAACACTCCTGTTAGTTGGTGATATGCAAATGCAATGCAACGCCAAAATCGAGTGGACTAGACTTTCCTGAAATGGAGCGTTGTTCGAGAGGTCATTCTGGAGCCAGTAATAGGCGGAGATAAGCTTTTTTTGAGTGAAAATTTCCACTAAAATGGTGAAATCTGGCTGTCATGGAATTCAATTCTGGAATTGTGCTTGGTGCCTGATTTCATCTCTGTTGATTGAGTCAGAGATGAGAGTCTAGAAAGTTGTCCCTGCAATCTGGCACCTTGATTCTCTCTATCAGCTGCCTCAATGGTTTTGTGATGCATGTTTCCATTTCTGACTTTCAGATTTCGCATGACAGAGTTGGATTCCAAGACTTTTTAAGTTTATTAAAACAATCATCACAAACCCGATAGGGCTTGTTCATGTTTGGAGCCAAAGCAGCTTTCAGGGATTTCCTACTGCTGCACGCTTTGCAAAACACTAACCACAGTTGTAACAATTGTGACGTTTCTTCGAAACCAAATGGATTACGGCAACTGGAGCATAGAGAGTGGTCAGCACTAGATACCCATTATGAAGACATATAATAGCAGTAAAGTTGGAACCCATACTAGACTCTTGATTTGCTTACTTCAGAAAATCACCAGCGTAGGTGAATTTCTGTTATCTTTGTCACCATGGCCCAATTGCCCATTTGTACCCTTACCCAAGTGGAAACCTCTGATGAAGAAGTCAAGGCCGCAACATGATAAGAACCACAGGCAATCTCTTCCACAGAACATTGGCTATTTTACCTTCAACCCGAGTAGGAAACAGTCCATCACTGTAGGAATCCCCAGCTGGCCATAAGCAATACTCCCCATTGTATATACATGTCCTGAGGTTGTAAGAGCAACTGTGAGATTATGCCCACATGCTAATCGACTTATATTTCATCCACCAAGAAGTACACAGTTGGAAGAGCCTGGTTCTTTATCACCATGTCCAAGTCGGCCATTATCTCCATCCCCCCAGGTGAACAGCTTACTAGATGAAGGCTACTTGAAGGTGAAAAAACTAGAAGATTCAGTAACTACTTCAATGACTGCAGCAGTGTGCCAAACACCACAAGAAACTCTCATTGTTCGCATTCCAATCAAGTTTCCACTTCACGGGAATACTTGTGCTACTAGATCTCCATGTTCAAGAGCCCACCAGACCCTCTCCAAAGTAAACAACTGGCCAGTAGATGTCCAACAGCCGTGTGCCAAAGACCACAAGAGATATAAGATACATGCTTACTGTCCATTGCCACAGACCCTTAGGGATCCAGTGACTGACTTCACTTCCATGTCCAAGCAGACCACACTGATGAGTACCATCACCCATGTGTAGATCCCCAGGAGCGTGTTATGGCACAAGTGTGATATTCTCCACATGCTACTGATTCAATGTTCATGCCACTGAGGGTTTCAATGGCTTGGGTAGGGAACATTATTTCCATACCATGCCCAAGCTGCCTCTATTTCCTCCCCCCAACTAAAGATCTCTCCTGTTTAGTAACTAAACTGCATGTTCCTACCACAAGCAATACTATGAACATCCAAAACTACAGTTGATTCCAATGCCTTAGGCAGAAGTGCATCATCTGAGGCTATAAGAGTCCAACTTGATGCCATCAGCAGCCAAAACTCCAATGCCAACACCTTCTCCCCAAATGAAAACACACCTAAGGAATCAAAGTCTTCATGACAAGAACCATGGCTTGATGAGCTTACAGCAATAGATAGACTGATTCGAACGTCTCAGCAGCAGAACTTCGATCATTTGAATTATCCATGTTTGAGTTGCTAATGACCCCAGAGGGAGGCCACTGATTCTGCTGACTGAACTTTGGGTGTTGCAGTATATGATATTATCTCAGAAAATGCCTTCGCCAGTCCATCTGTGAACCATTCTCCAAAGGCACTGTATTCCTTGAGTATCTCCGAGATCTGTGATTGTGCCAAAAAAATTAACCAAAACAGGTAAAAGAATGGGTAGGTTGTCAAACTAGGACAAAGTGAAAGATTGATGACAGCATAGATATGCACAGTGGTGCAACTGATGGAGAATTTTTTCCAGTACGAGCATGTGGACTATCGGAAGATGTAGAATTATGTTTTGGTTCATTTTTCACTTAAGGTTGCTAACACGAGTAATCAATGCCTGAAGCCAACAAACCAGACTTCAGCTTCATCCTTGTCTTTACAAATCTGTCCGTAAGATGGGAATGGTGTCAAAAGAAGAGATTTGTAAGGTATAAGTTTCTTTCTATCCACACATGACCGAATAAAATGGCTGCACAACCAAATTCAGTAATTTGTAACATATAAGTTTCTCTTATTTGCACTGACAAGTACATGGCACTTTTATGTTAAAAGAAATCATGAAGGAGACACACTCACCAAATCCAAGGACCGATCACTGCTATCAGAGAAAATGATTGATACTCTTTTTCAGGCCGAGGATAACGCTGAATATTGCCTGAAACAAAAGTTACTATTGCATTTGTGGAAGTTTTTGGAATTAATATATAAGCAAATAATCAGACTAATAGCATAACTCTTTAAATTAAACACAAACATCAAGGATTGAAATAATGATTAGAGAGAGTCTAACAAAGCAGTAAAGTTTAGACTAACCAATATTAACCTCTCCAGAACACTTTTTCAGATCAGGCATATGCATGTCAAGGCTCCATTTAAAGTTTTCATTATTTCCTTGTATGTTTTAGTAGGATTCACGGTCCAAGTTTTTTTAGCAAAGATATGTTGACTTCACAAACTTACAGTGCGCTGTCCGGATATCCTTGAAACTTGACTCAGTTAAGATGTTTTTCTGCTTGCCTGAGTACCATATCAACATAGCTTCATCCTGAAACAAAGCCACAATTATCTGTGATTAACTAAAAGAAAAATTAACAACTAAGTACAAATAGGAAAGGGTGGGCTATAGCACCCTTAAAATGCTGTTAATATCCAATTTTCTACATACCTCTATTATTAATTTTTTACTATTTATTTTCTCAAATAGCAGAAATTAAAAAAAAAAAAACTAGGTCAAGTGGAAACACAATATTTTTTTTCAAGAATTATAAAATTACTATGAAAACCAACAACACAAAAGAACTGGAAAACATCATTTCTAGATAGTATGTTATACGTCATAAAGCTTATAAAATTTACTTCACTTTATTGCATTTTTATATAAAAAAGTACTAGATATTAAAGTTGTATTTATCACATGATAATTTTATAATGATTAAGTTAATTTATATAATTTTAGAAATGCTAATTTAGGGTGTACTAAGAAAGGGGGTGTTCAGACGACATATGGGGGTACATAATAGCCTCACCCATAAGAAAGACTACCTTGGCCTATTCCTAATTTGAAATGATCTTTTCATAAGAAACCGCTAGAAAAGGAAAAAGACAAAAATAATGTCTATGCTATGACTGCTGGTTGAGAATAAGCTGCAAGCACTGAGAATCTTCTTTGTCAAGTGAGAGTTGTTTGCACCATTGTACCTTAGTTTGCAGTTATTATAAGCTTCCAATTTGCTAGTATAATTTACTAATTCAATTCTGTGGCCATGATCTCAAGAGGGGTTTCAATGAAAATATTGCTCATAAAAATAATTTTCATCTAGGATAATGCTCTTGTAAGGCCCAAATATATAAGTAAAAGGATGCTCTTGTGAACTAAAGGTTTGGACAATTTTTTATCATATAATTGACCTCTTGCCAAAATTATAGACAAGTTAATTAAAAATTTTATGAATTCCATACTCTTGTAAGATAAATAGAAGTAATTAACCGGTTTTCATTTTTCTTGATTCAAATGTAAACTTCTAATACATTTTTCTCTATTGCAAATTTAATTAGGATGCATCTATAAATTTTTTACAACAAAAATTCTTAGGTGCGGACATAAAGTGCAGAACTTTCTTTTTAACCTAAGACAGACTTGCACTTTAATACATTTAATTGTGCATGTCTATGTCAACTTAAAGGTTAAAAAAAAAAAAAAAAAAAAAAAAAGGAAGGGGTTCGGACTTTAAATCTGCACTTTTAGGTCAACACTAGAGAATGACTATTCTTTCTACTGAAACTACTGCCTGATTCTTCCAAGTATTGCAAGCAGCCTGTGTATTATTTACATGCATGTGCTTATCTTTTAAATAAAAAAGAGTTCAACCTGAAGAATGCTGAGATTGCATATTCCTATTCAACTTGCAGATGCAAGCACACTAATGAACAAAGGCTGTTTAGTAAACAAGAAATTATCAGCTTAGCCTCTCCCAACTGTTGACATGATTAAGCTTCTATGCAGATAAAATATGACTAAAGACAAATTATTTAGTGAATTGCATACATGCTCAATTAGCAATTCTTTGAAATTTTAATAATAAAAATCAGACAAAATATCCAACCTGAGCAGTTAAGGACTTAATAACTTCCTTTGCAGACTTGCATTTTTCAACTTCATCTGCCGCCATTGCAGTGACCATCTTTAATTTCTTGGATGTTCTTTCAAGTTCAGCTTCAAGATGCTGGGATTTGGAAGTAGCCGCTTCTAACTACAAAATTTTGTCAATATTTATCAACCAAATCAAAGCAGACGAGGGTACAAAAATTTAATGTAAGCACTACAAACTCATTTTAAGAGGTTAGCATACATAAGAAG